AAAAGTAATTCTAACAAAAAAAACAAAACTCTCATTTCCTAACTTCTTCATCGTTACCCAATTGTGACACAAAGCTACCGCATCAAGCACAATTTAATAGACAGCACCTTACATGCAATTAGAAAGCAGGCTGGCAGAGGTTGGACTGTTTCACTCCCCTTTCAAAGAAGATGCCAAAATGAATGTGGCACAGACACGCAAATAAGACTTCAAAGCGCCACTGGCCTTTAAATAACCTTTTTGATATGCATGCAAAAATACACAAGCATGTGTGCGCGCACAATCGCGCACGCTCTTCTTCCTGAACTAGCCTCAAATTCAAACATCCCGGTGTCAAACAGTATTTGCTAGAAACTGGAACAAGCAGCCAGCAACCATGAGAGACTTTCCAGGTCATCTGAGATTGTCCCACTCCAGCGAGAGGACACAGTGGAAAACTGAGTTTTCAAGTATATGATCTGAGTATCACGAGTGTGTCCTTTAATAGCGGTGGAAAATTATGAGTCTTTCTCTGGGAAATTAACATGCACACAGCAGGAAAATGACTGTACATACCTGGTTTCCTTCTCATTCCTTTTGTTTTCCCGAATCAGGTCGTACATTGGGTCTTCGTGTGCCTAATAAAGTATAACACAATGTCACACAAAAAGAAGGTACGGTGCTACAATTCACACCATATCCAGGAACTATACATTCCAAACAGTGTTGTGTCAGCACTTTTAGGAATATCGAGACAATAGAAGGAAGGAAAATATGACACAGTTGCATTTATGGTAATCATTGCAGGGGCTAAGCGTTCCTGCAGCGAGCACTGTTTCATTAAAAGTACACTGGAACGAACTGTGTGCAGAGATCTGCTGCCCACATGTGTAAACTAAATCTGACCTTACTTAACTTTAGTCTCAGACACAAACTGTCTCTGTCATAGCTCCACGACATAAACGCGACTACTAACTTTTTTCTACTGCATTCACGCATTTTTCTACTGCAAGGAACCGTGGGTGGGCCAACTATTCTACAGCAGTAAACAAACTCACCACTCTGAAGTGCTCCAGTTTCTGGTTGCCTGTGATGAAGAAAGGACACTCCCGATCACCTGTCCTGTGGCCGTAGCGCTTGCACCTCCAGCCTTTACAAAAGGAAACAAAAATCATTGTTTGTCTAACGAATCAGACATTTCACGTACATGGCAGCAGAGTTGCTATTAAACAGACGTCCCACGTAAAACTGATTTTCCTCATCTCAAGAACTTTAGTTTGCCAAAATAACCCGAACTCATGGTGCTTTCAACAGTAGTTCGATAGAATATGCTCAGTGTCATGGTTATCGTGAGTTGCCATAAATGACTACGCAGATGCACCAACTGGTCACCAATCATGTGGCAGCCATCATGTGCATTCAGACATGCAGAAATGATCAAGACAAGCAGCTGAAGTTCTTAATGTGTTTGAACGTGGCATGATTGTTGGTGCCAGATGGGCTCGTCTCGGTATTTCAGAAATTGCTGATCTACTGGGTTTTTCCCCAGACAACCAGTGTTGGGTCTGAAAAAGAAGGAAAGTTGTCCTTGGTAAAGTGCTTTGTTAATGTCAGAGGAGAATGGACAGACTGCTTGAAGCTGATAAGAAGCCAACACTAACTCAATAACCACTTGTTACAACCAAGGTAAAGTTTACAAACGCTGGTGAAAAATGAACAGAAGAAGATTGGAAAAATGTTTCCTGGTCTGAGGAGTCCTTCTGCTGCAACACTTGGTTGGGTTCAGAATTTAGTGCAAACAACACAAAAGCAGGAATCCACCCTGCACTGTTTCAACAGTTTAAGTTGTTGTTGGTGTAATGATGTGTTTTATGTCTTCTTATGCACACTCTGTGCCTCTTAGTACCAACTGAGCATCATTTAAACGCCACAGCCAAGCCGATTATTGTTGCTGGCCATGTCCATCCCTTCATAACTACAGTGCCCATGACAATAATCTCAAACATGCCAATCAAGTCATTTACTCCATGTAAATTTCACAACATCCCAAAGGTAGACTTTGGGATGTTGTGAAATTTACATGGAGGATGATCAGCCGCAACTGTGACATTACCACGTCAACATGGTTCTCTGAGGAATGTTTCCAGCGCCTTGTTGAATCTATGGCTACGTTCATGTATACTAACAAGGATTTTTCCGCGTTCATTCTGAAAAAACATTTCGGTCCACATGAAAACACCAAAAACAACTTCAAGTGGTGTCAAGTGCTTTCCAAGCGAACATGTGGTGTTATAACCCCAACTGTACAGAAATACTGGCCAATCAAAAACCTTACAAACAATAACATGGCCACAGTCTGACGTCAAAAAGTCGCACACCTTTGATGTTGCAAGACAAAAATCCCCATTTTTGTTGTCCATATGTAACCGCAGAGTTACTGGAAAGCCTCGCCCTGAAAGGAGCTTTTCAAAAGCTCAGTTTAGGCATCTAAAACTGAACGAACATCTAAAACTGACCGAAACTTACTGAAAAACCTACGTATGCAAAGATCGCCGTGTACATGTAGACAGGTCTACGGCATGATGAGTCAAAACAGTTCTGAAGTCAAAAGGGGTTCCAAGCTGGTATTAGCAAAGCGTACCTAATAAATTGACTGGTGGATATGTATGTAAGCCCAGTCTAGACCACTCATCATCTAGCTAATAAAGCAAATCAAGGACAACTCAAACTGCATTAAAAGACACAAACTGTAAAAAAAATCCTGAAAGAAATATTATTTTATTAAATTGGATTTTGTTGAACAGCAGTCGGCGAGGGACGCAACAACCCCACGCAACAGCAACTCAAGAGTCGCACACGAAAAAACACGCTGCTCATGATGAGGCGCCTGATTATCAGTGACAGATCATCTCAAATTCATTATCACTTTTTCTGCCCTGAAAACAAATCAGCAATTTATATCCAAGTTTCACACCGATTAACTGCTCAAGTGGCAGCGTAGCACCTGTGAACGACTTGAGTGTTTTTAATGCGAGTCTGCAGGAATTCTGTTCACCACGTAAAAGAAGTAATTTCTCGCCGTTCCTTTAAGCAGGACGACAAATGTACAAGTTTTTCACAAAGGATTGAGGGAAAAAAAAAAAAGACACAAACACCACTTTTTTGTTTGCATGTGCATGTTTGTGTCTGAGCTCTTGCTGTTCGCAGCATGAAAATGTGTGGGACGAAAGAATGAATGGACACTGAACATAATGACATTCATTGTTTTGGGAAAAACAGACAGAAGATAATCTCTGCAACACCAATTATTAGTCTTCGGTCCATCACTCTTGTCATAAAAACAATAGACACAGTGATAAATGTCAAGATCTCGCAGTTAACATTTATCACCTATCATAACTGCTGCCTACTCACAGTGGAGATTTACTCCCACCTACAGTTCCAGACCTATAAGTGCTGCTGGTACCTCACTAATAAACCGTACTCAAAACATTTCCCAGCATCCATGTGAGCTTGTTTAACAGATTTTTAATTTTTCAAATAATTCATTTTAAGTAAAGAAGCATGAGAAATAAATACTATCAGTAAGATTACAATTTCTGTTACAGATAAAAATATTAATAAGGGGTGGAATGGCTGTACTTGAAATCATTTAGGTTCTCAGCAAACCACATTTCAAACATTTATAGGACTTGCAGACACCCTGTAGTGTATGCACTGTAAATTAAAAACATAAACTAAAGGACTGAACCTTGCCAGGCCAAAAACACTGCACAGCTCTAGGAGATTAATAATGAAAATATGTTAGAGTCAGCACTGAAGACAAGCATAAAATTTTAAAATAAACACGCTGAAGTGAGCAGCTGAGTAATCACTACTGTCATGTGTCTTATGCCCCCTGTTCTAAAGGCAAGAGGCTGCCTCCTGGGATAGATTTCCTTCTGTTTGCCTAATTAGCAATGAGTGTCACCTCTGATATCAACACCTAACTCCTGTAGCTGTGAAAAGATTCCCGAGGGATGTGAAAAACTCAGTTAAAGACTGCATTTGCATGAGCAGAACTGTAAACAGCATGTTTATTCCCGTCAGTGCAAACTCGGGCACACTATACTCACACTGCATCACCTTCACCTCCCTCCCTAGAGGCATCCACAGCCCTTTCGTGGGAGCGTGGGCCAGGAAGCTTCTGGCTTCTTCATTTCCTGGTTCTGCAGGGATACAGTCCTCTGGTTTTTCTTCATGCTCCTGCAACACAAACCGATCACTGTCACCAATTCTCACGATTTGTCTTTACCTAAAAAAAGCCACATGTAATTTACTTCTTACTCTTAGCTGTCTATTACTGCGAACACGTTACCTTAATAAATCCCGGTGGAGGTTTCTCATAGCTGCATGAGAGAGAGATTAAAAATGGTTAGTATGCTGCCAAAAACATTAAAACAAAAAATAACAACATGAAGTTGCTGCCCCTCGCTTATTGTGGATAAGCTTGATCAACTTGAAAATGGGTGTCAATTAAGACGCATTTATAATTCATGCACAAGTTTGCGGGATTAAAGAGGAAAAGCCAGAGTGAAACTGGAGTTACTCACAATGTCTCGATGTGTTTCAGTTTCTGGACTTCTTGGCTGACTTTTTTCGTGTGCTTCTTCAGTTTCTCCAAATCATCTTTTGGTATCTTGTCCCTCTTGTGGTGTCGTCTGTCCTCCTTCTCTCTTGCTCGCTTTCTGTCCGACATCTTGTTTTGAACAAAATGATCACCCGACAAAAAAATACCGTTGTTATTAAAAGTGCATGCGGAGCTTTTACGTTATTAATTCCATGAAGATGAATCGTGCTAACACGCAGCTAACTAGCAAACGCCGCTCCAGCGCTTCTGCACTTCCTGTGCAGTCAGATTGGATTGTTAAAGTCCGGCGCCACCTGCAGGACACCGGCGGTAACACAGGAAGTGCGCCTGGATTCTCTTTCTCTCTTTTTATTTTTAAACACAAATGACAGTTTCTTTCAGCCGTAAACACTGATAAAAATGTTTATTCTTCCCTTATTGAATCCGTTTCCCAACCCATTTTCTATGATTTTCTAGTTTGGCAGTTTTAATCTTAATAACAGGATACTGGAAACAAAATGTCACTGTATGTTTTAGATCATCTGTGCCTCGTTTAAGTGACCTTTAACATCAACGGAACAAACCATCAGCGTGCGCCTTTAGCATCTTTTCATGCATGTTGCGTTTCAAATGCTTCCATTTGAAGGTAAAGGTTTGGCTTTCCTAAAAAATTAGTAATAGATTCAGATGGCTCCAATCTGCTTATTGCGTTATTAAATAAATTTTGAATAATTTGAGTCATGGTGACATCGGAGTTCATTTGGATCTAAGTTTTAAATATATATATTATGTTGGACTAGTGTCTGCAAAGCCTTTTTCCCCATGAGGGCATTAAAGATCTCTATAAATACATTATTTTAAAACTGCATTTAGGCATATAGACATGTTCAAGAGGACATGATGGCATATGTCAGAAGCTTCCGATCCACTCGTATTTTCCCACAGAAGAGTTTGAAGAATTTACTGACAATAACCTGAAAAGGAGAAAATATCCAAAGAGTATCCAACCTGGCACTAGCAAGGTGTACCTAATAAAGTGGCTGGTGAGTGTATTTATTTCTTTTTTTTAAGCTAATTTTTCTAAAGTTATTGATCACACTTTTCTTGCAGCCATATCTTAGTGTCTTAAACATTGCTCAGTTTCTAGATTGTAGGCAAGAACTGATATTGCATACTGAATACCAAATATATAGTCATATAATATGCGTATTTATCAGCAGACAGTGCATAAAAGCAGCAGTAAACAGAGCAACAAAGTAAAGAGCCTACTTTCACAGACTGAAAGTCACAGTTTTATTTCAGGTATTTCACAGTGAAATATAAATGTGAGGTATTTCAGGATTTAAACAAATGTGTGTTCACTGAACAGCTAATCTACAACCGTAAGTAATCAGACATTACAAAAAACACACAAGTCATATTTAATAGAGCAATGGTGCAAAAGCATGTAGCCAAAGAAGGTATCAAAAGAAAATGTAAAGTTTAGATGACACTAATTGTAAGTCTACAGATGTTTGGCAGATGTGCCTTTTCATTGTAAACAGTGACTGGTGAGTCCCATTCTGAATGATAATCAAATATTTTCATTGGTGATTGATTTGTATGCATTTACAAATATGTAACAATGAGATATTTACATTTATCACTTCTATATTTCAACTTTGTAATAAAAAAAAATAATAAAAAAAACAGAAAAATGTTCCCACTGGAGAGAACTGAAAGCTAAAATAAGTAAATAAATCAAATACAAAAGTTTGAACATCAAATAGCATGAATTGTAGTTAAAGGTATATATTTTCTATATAAATCTATTTTTGTAACATTAGAAAATGGAGAAAATATATATGTAAACCAGCTCGTCATACCACAAATGCCACCACAGAGAAAAGCCGGATTTCCTGTGATGCTTCGGCAATTTGATAAATAAATACTTTATAATCCTTCAACATCCACAGTTCGGGAGTTTACAAACGGGGGATGTGTTAAATTAGATGAAAAGAAGTCCGCCCGTCTTTCTGACTGTGCAGAAGATGCAGAAACTGACTGACAGCTGAAATAGCGACCTCGGTGCCCCCGGTTACAATTCAGGATTCTAGGAGCGCCGCTCCAATCCGCCCAGCAACTGTCGCGCTGTTGGACAAACTGTGTGCCTTTTCACTGGCTTGGAAACTCAACTAGTTTCTCAAGTTCTGATGCTCTGGATTACACAGATTACGACATGGGCCTCCTCCCATTTCTTTGTTTTTTAAGAGTATTCACAAAGATAAAGCACATATAATCTTAAGATGCTCAAAGTGAGGAGAGAAAATCTTTCAAGCCCCCCTTCTTGGTGCCCTGGTTGTCCTCTCGCTGGAGAATCTTGCTTAGGCGTCGGACAAACCAGTTTCTAATTTTAGGAGGCTTGGAGGAAGCTGAGCCCGAGCCTGATCCTGAAGTGGTAGTAGTGGAGGTGGAGGTGGAGGAGGAGGAGGAGAATCTAGAGAGAAGGAAGAGTTCAGTTAAGAGTTACAGTAACTTAAGATTTTGTTGGTTAGCAGGAAATGTTAAAAGCAAGCTATCACCAGCGACACGATCCGAAAAACGTGGAACCAACACGTGCCGCCCGCACATCTTGTTCCCTTAATGCTGACTTAATAGAAACTCAATCACTCAAATCCCAACATGCCTGACACATCACTGTCTCATATGTCTGCAGAACCAACTAAGTTTAATCAAGCAAGGCTGTAACTAAACTTTTGGCTCTGTGCATATTAGTAACAGCAAACCAAAATAAACTTACCTAGGTGTATGAGCAGGCGCCCTGTCCTTGCCAGGAGTCTTGTGGGCATTCATGCTGGATCTGCTGGTTGACTGTGGGGTTTTGTGCTTGCCAGCACTCCCTGGTGTGCTGTGGGTCTTAGCGAAGGTAGCTATAAAATCCCTGTTCACCCCCTTGTACCTGGATGTCTTATTGCAGGCATGGCAGGTGGCCATCTGGGATAAGGAGAAGGAAAGGAACATATCCATTAATAATGCATGCTCTGCGTCTACACTGCGCTCATACACAATGAGGTTTTGAGGTGAAGGCATACATGGCATCCCCAGAGGAGTACTTGGAAGGAAATCCGTTGAAACTTCTTGTGTATAATTTCAACAAATTATGTAAATCCTAGAGAGGAAGGTGAAGCTTTTTGTCATTCTAGCTATTATTTTTCATCAAAACTCACTATTTCCACAGTTTAATGGCTTTCTCTGGGACGCACAACAGTTTGGTGTGGACTTGGGCCTGACTAGCTGTAATAAAAATGGTGCACATGCCACAGGTGACGCAGGGCAACCCGCAAGCCTCATAGATGTCAGGGACACGTACTGACATCTCAAAGCTGAGGAAAAGTTTACAATGAGGTAGAGGAAGCTTACTAATGACAGGAGATTCACTTAACAGCTGAGGCTCTTCCCACTGGCTGTGCCAAAGATAATTTTACCAATGAACATTGCAGATATGAAAATAGTTGGACTGCTTGAAGCAGGATGGGAAAACAATGTGTTTAGCCTATGAGTCGGCAAGGTGGGGCTGTTGCCATGCAATTTCGCCTATTCAGGGTACACTGCAATGTGGAAAGGTTACAACGGGTAACAGATCAAAGACTCGCAGAACTTTGTGCTCAAGAAAAACAAAACTGTACTAATCAATAAATTAGATGTACCATGCTCACATTCAGCTTCATATTCTTATTCTGTGATTTAAAGGTGTAGCTGTGCATGATTCACAGACGCTATCAGAGCTGTTGGCTAGTTCTTTCTAGTTTAACTCTATAACATTTTTTCCCCTACAACTTCTCTGATGCTTGAGCTGAGCCTACTGTTTTATGTAATTCAAAATAAGACACACTGCATTCAAATAAAATATAAACTCCATGTAAGGCAAAACAAGTAGCAGGAAAGTTGCAAGGTAGAACTACAGGTCAGGAGATCCTTGCAATTTAAGACAACATGCATAATAACTCTTGGCCTATGACTGTGTGTCCAAGTGAAATGGTGCATGAAACAGCAGTACATGTCATGGTGTGCACACAGGCAGTTAATAAACCATCAATGATTAATCAAATAAGTTATGGAATCATAATGTGACTCGGACAAACAGATAAAAAACAAAACAACTGACTGCTATTGTAAGCCACAATTACTTTATATATACACTCTTCAGTATTAGGCAGGACTTCTTATCAATTGCAGCCCATTATAAGACACCACAGAATGAACTGAGTGATGGTAACAATATAGAAAATCATCCCAGCATCATGACCCTGCTATAATTATAAGATTTGCCATTTTTTCTGCTGTTTTAACAAACGTCAAATAACTTCAGCTAACTCCAGCACAGGAAAAATAAAAATCTTGAACAGAAGAGCCATTTACACTTTTTCCCCCTCTAAAGTAAAACTTTATTCAAAGTAGCAAATGCAGTGTTCAAAAAAACCTCAAGATCCCTCCAAAACCTAAGCATAAAAAAAAATCCCAGTAGTGACAGAAGCTATCCAGAGTTGCCACAACATTAGAACTGGTTTGAACAGACCACCGCTGCAGAGGTCAGCAAATCTGAGCCAAACTGTTGACAGTCCTGAATGCTGAGGAGATGGAAAACTCACCGACACAAATGTAGCCATTTCAGATTCTGACAGGTGTCTACTGCCGAGTGTTGGAGAGTTGGGTTTCAGTGAACCAGCACTTAGTTCTGTGTTCCTCTTCGTTTTTACCGCACCGTTAGAGAAGTGTTTACTAAAGGAGCCTGCCAGTCCCGCTTTATAGTGACAAAGCCAAGCAACTGACCCACCCATCTGTGCATAGGGGTGTGGCTCAATGAGGACTGACCAATGCTCTGTGAAGCAGATGGACTAAATAACCCCAGACTTTCTCTAGAGGATGGATCGCAGTGTTACTAGTGCATGCAAGATCTTTTGATTAAGTCTATTTGTTAACAAAAGATCCAAACTCAGAACACTTGCATTTAGTAAATACTGCTGAATAACTGATAATTTAAATGCTGTTTATTATTTACTTGTACTCTAGATGTAACGTGAAACAGATTCAAACCACAAAGAATTTTGTGTTCAAGCAAAAATAAACAATAATATAAATAAAAAACCTGTACTGAACAGGAGTAGCTTTGCATAAACACACCTAACATGCAGCAATTAATAAAGCACAATAATAGTGCACTATAATCATTATTTCTGTTTAAATAAATGTGCTTGGTGTGGCCCATCACGTCATCTGATTGACATGACGGGCTGGATCTGATTGAAATAAGACATTTTAGGTAGTTTCCTCTGGCCTTTAAGCCACCTTTCTTCTGACTGGCTGCCTCTTGCAAACTGAAGGTTTAAATCTGACGTCAACTGTGCTTAGATATAACTCTGTACCCCGAGATGACGCAAAGCACATGCGTTGTGCGTGTGCTCACTAACTGAAACATTAATCCATGTTTAGTATGAGCACTCACCATTGTAGCAGTACATGTAGGACACAAAAATAAGGAAAGGCATAACTGGCTGCCTTTTAAGAAGTTATCTTGGGTCAGTATTTTAGAAATGTGGAATTTCTAATCTATGCATTGTATGTGGTTTGAATATGAAGATTTTATTATTGATGGTTTTTGAGTAGCCCTGTGATGCACTGGTGACCTCTTCTGAGTGTACGCCACCTCCTGCTGTATGACAGCTCAGACAGGCTCCAGCCCTCGATGGATAGATGGATGGATATCTCCTAAACTGCAGTTATCTTATAAGGAGTCTAAAATAAATGTAGAAAGGCACATTCAGCTGAGAGAGGACATTCAACAGTGAGAAAAAAAACCTTTCCTCAAACAAAGTATTCCAAACTTGGAATAACTGGTGCTGTTCAGTAAAGTAGGCACACAAAGTCTGGAGTATCTATAAGCAAAGTAATGCACTAATATTAAAAAGGTGCAGGTGTATAAAGATGTTATACTGGAACTAGTTTCTGGTCACATAGAGACATTTTAGACAAATGGATAAAATAGTTATATTAGTTTTGCAGGAAGAATCCATCCTGCTTTTTCCCCTCAGGCCAAACAGATTAGATCTGATTAGTTATGAATTTCGTTTTCACAGTTAAAATATTTGCATGGCACAAACCACTGAAAACAATATTTGGTTGGAGTTGGAGTAACTGACTTTTTAAATAACATAGTTTTTTTGCAGCAATGTAAAATAGTTCATAAACACTCCTTGCATGCAGTTGCATCATTACTGTGATGCACTTGAATAGAGGGTTGTAAGTTTTGGCAGATTCCTGGCAGTGACCTCCAATCGTGTTGGAGTTACGGGATGTGAAACCGCCAAATTCAATGTGGATAGTTCCACTTTTAACCTCCTCCTATCCACTTACATAAATGTTGTGATGCGTACCGTTTGCTTTATTGCACTTTCATATAATCTTTCCATCACCACTTCCTGTTTCTGCAATGATCAAACAATTTCTTCCCATACATCATTAAATTTTTATCTAACCAAATCATAACAGGGGGTATGGGGGTATATCATTAAACAGAAAACTAATTGCTGTTCTGTTATAGATGATATAGCTTCAATTGTAACACATGCTGTAAGTAATAAGAGCTGGAGACATTTAGGTGACAACGCAGATTTTCGTGTTTCAACTTCTGACGACTATGATTTCTTCAAATGATTACTCCAGGGAAGGGAGGGGTGCACATAGTTAATGGTGGGCTAGATCAAACACAGAGAGACAGCTGGTTGCAGATGGATGTTTACAACTAGGATGACCTCATGCTGTTTATCCTCTCCTGGCCTCGCTGTCATTAGCCAGCTCGAATGAAGCGCTGATATGACAGGATCTAAAAATCTTTCCCTAATAAAAAAGTGTGTGCATGTAAGTGCACAGCGGAGATGCTAATCAGCAACTGGAAAGTGCCTAGGAAATGACGCTGTCCACTCTCAGACGACAGTGACAGTAAGGTTGTTGCATAGTGATAAGAAATCATGACAACCTAAAACGCAATCCTAGTCACGTGTACCCGTTTAATTTACGCTAATCCTTCGACATGCGGCGTATGCACTTGCAGAGCCACACGTGAATCGGTGGCAGAGAGAGATCTGATTTCCTCATCTTGGCATTCTGGCAGCAGACAAACCAGCGCATTGGCCAACCAAGCATAAGGCTAATGCGGATAAACAACCACCTATATACACCCCAAGGGATATTAAGCATTTTATTTATTTATTTTTTTGCAGAAAGTAAGGTTCCCGTTCAATTTCATGCCATGATTTTAATACTTGCCAGGAGTGTGTAATTCCCTCTAAACTGTGCAGTCTTGCAGCGGCTCTTTCTGCATATAAAAATAATAAAGCTCAAGTCATAGATTAATGCACGACTTCCTGAACGAAAGAACGCAGGTCTAAGTTACGAACGGTGTAATGGTTTGAACTTTAAATGAGCAAATAGACTGTTAGATAGTTCACAAAGGTGAAAACTTTCAATTTAAATAACCTGAGATCAATGAGATCCTGCAGCTGTAATTCTTGTAGTTCAATCTCTGGCAAGCTGACTGTTGTGTGTAACCCAATACTGTGACAAATGAGAACAGAGTTTAACATTCTCTGAGTCTAAAACAAAAAATCGAATCAAATAATCGGCCAGAACTTTTATTTTCTCTTCCAGAGCATACTGTACTTCTCTCCCAGCATACGACAAACATTCCTGCACTTTGCAATTGCTCATTTTCATGATTATAAGAAGTAGTCAACATTGTTTGCAACACACACACACACACACACACACACACACACACACACACACACACACAAATCAATTCTGCTAGCTTTCTCTCTGCTGTCAGAGGTCAGCTTTGGTTGATTAATCTGACCTCAGCAGTGCAATACTGCCCAAGAGGAGGAAGATGAGTAGAGTAGCAGAGTGAGTCACAGAATGAGGCGTCTGTTAGGACTCCT